TGCTGTATAATCCAGCAAGAAATAAAGAAGTGTCGCCGAAATTGTCTTCAGCATTGGAAAGGCTTCCTACAGAATACTCAAGAGGGTTAATAATGATTTGGCCTATCGAGTTCAGCGCAACACCAGGAGTAAGATGAAAGTTGTACATTTGGACAGACTGACGAAATATCCTGGGTGTGAAGTTGATCGGGACGATCAACCTTAAGAGGAGGGCAGCGTCGCGAAAATCTGGCGGAAGCGCTAAGGTGTGCAGAATAGGGAACTTGCAAGTGAGCTAAAATTTTCCAAATTTAGGTATTTTAAATCGATAGTTTATACTGCACAATATTAATATGACCAGTTTTTATTTAACTGATATCGCCTTTAATACACAAAAAATAATACTAAATTTGGAATGAAAAATTTCCCGCCAAAAAAATGCTTCCATGATGGTTTCCTTTTTTGACGTCACGATTCTGTAAACAAACCTATCCCTGTCAATAGGGAACTTGCAAGTAGAAAAAGATACAAAAGCAGTCCTCTATCAATATTCTTCATCCATTAGGATAATAATTTTTACAGAAAGCAAGCTTTAACAGAGTTGAATAACACAAAAATATAGCACTGAGTCAACAGAAGTTCGTTTGCTGAGTTTGTTGTTTACGTAATCTTGACGTCACGTGCGCTGTCATTCCCTATTGGACACTTGGACAGCTGATTCTAGATTTTGCGGTGCTGTTCGGGACGGAGGGTTATTGCGTTTATTCAGGATTTTGCAGGAGGAGATTGCGGATATACATATAAAGGCCGGTATTAGTTAATAGTTTTTAAGACTTTTAAAGAGACAATCAAATATGATATAGAAAATTGTAGCACATTTTGCACGTGACGATTTTGTAAACATTTATGCACTATAACTATAATAAATATCAAGGGCTAAACTACAGTACCTACCTCGTAAGTGCAAAAGTATAAATTTTACAGGAGAGACAAAAAACTTTGGAGAAATGAATGGGTGGTGAAATAATTACACATAATTGTATCAAACAAAATGCAATAATCATAATCCAGTGAAATTGTCCAAAAAAACGTTTTAATTACTTTTACTGTAAAATACGAGGTCCCGTCATTATTATTCAAGAACATACGAGGTCCTGTTGGAATAAATAAGTGCGTAAAGGCCTCAAAAAAATATTATTAGGTACCTATTACATATTGAGAAAACTTTATTCATGAAAAAACAACGAAAAAACATTCAATTATCATCAAATATAATAACAAACTAAAAAAAATTCCTAAAATAGGTAATGGAAATGAAATTAAAATACCTATACTAAGTGAATTTCAATTTAGATGGCAGAAAATCGTATAAAACAAAGTAAAAAAAAACTTAAAATAATGGAAATTTTATCAAAATAGTTATTATTTATAAGGTAGAAGGTCGTAGAAAGGCTAATCGTGAGGAATAACTTTTTTAATTTCCTGGAGATCGAGATACTTTCTTTTTGTAATGGGCAAACGAGAGGCATAAAACTGAGGGAACTTAATATCTTTAAGTTCTATTTTCGAGGGTCTGCCAGGTGGGTATAGTTAGAAATTCATCCTCAATTTGTTTTTTAGGAAATTTCACCATTTTCGTATCGTAGAACACGTATATCAGTCACTGTTAATCCATCTCATGGCCTGATTGATTTATACTTTAGTAGTGGTTTGTGTTTAAAATTTCGCAAAAACTCGTAGGGTTTAGTCTTTTATAAGTTCATAGGGATTTTTCAGTCTTGCTTCTTTGGTAATACGATGAAGTTTAATTCCTGGTTGTAAAAAATTATCTTCTAAGTAGTCTACTAGAAATGAAGCATACGTCGCTGTTTGACCATCCGCATTTGTCTCATCAAACCAGTAACAGGTAGCTTTTTGGTTTTTCAATTTGTAAACTGTAAAATTATGATTACACAGTTTTGTTCTGTAATACAATGCACTTGCAGCTAAACATGGAGCCAGCTTTATAGCTTGAACATCCATAGTTCTTCGCATTTTCTTGAGTACTCTCGATGTAATTCTGCAAATGACTGAAACTGCTGCTCCAAATAGAGACGATCTGTGTCTTTTCTGGTATAGTGCGAAGGAAGCTTATTCAGAGATTCTAAGAATTCCTTCAAAAAAGTGGTGTCTTCTTCGTGATAATTTCTTAATGGTCTTCTTTTGGACATAAGTACAGAATTACTATCTGCCATTCCATTAGTGCTTTGTTGGCTCCAGTTCCTTACAGACCATTCTTTTAAGCCTAGTAGTATGGAAACATTTGTTTACAAACTGGTATATTTTCGTTTCCAATTGTGAGACAGTGAGAGAATATTTCAGAGTGGTGCTACGTCTAGATTTATCATCGGCATCGGACTTTTTGGGTCTTTCTGTTGGAACAACGATCACAGATTGGGCCACAAACACCTACCTAGGCAGGCATATACGTTGCAGTCCCGATAAAATGTACAGAAATGTGACACTTTCAAGATTTTAAAAAGCCCGTCATGTCAATATTACATATGCAGTTAAAAATAAAATTCATTACCATTTGAGGGGTCAATTTTGAGTCCAAAATTCAAGGCGAAAAGTAAAGTGCCCCATTAAACGCCCCATCAAGGCCCTCAAAACCCATTCGCTAAAGGGTTTTTAACGCATTTAAAGTGAACCTACTACAAACCACAAGAACGTGATGGAGGCAAGGATTACGATCGAAAGCCTGTCGTTTAGCACGCATGCACTTGTCTGACTCTTTTTTCGTAGCCCACTTGAAAAACTGGTCCAAAATATTTTATTTTGTGTTAAATGAAATTTTATTTTTTTAGAAGTAGGTACCTACCTAATCTTTGATATTCCCCAATACAATAATTTATTGATTGATTGCGTTCCCCGGCCTGATTTGAACAATTTTTGTATTCTCTAAATTATTTTCTAATCAATATGAAGTAATAAAACTGATCATTCTTCAAAAAAAAAAATCAGAACTTAAAAATTCAATAAAGTAGAAAATTCAAAAACTACAGGAACTGCACCCTTCTTGTTCCTCTATATCTCTCCCTGATGCAATTATAAGGATTAAAGGAACAACTTGTAACAAAATTTGTATGCAATCAGGTAGTCTATTGTGCCTTTGAAAGAACTGAAACCTATAATTACTTGTCTTCAAAGAGGGCTTTCAAATCTGAATCTACTTCCTGTCTCTTTATACTTCCCTGATGGCGTAATTTTAAATTACACGTTTGGCAAATTTGTAGTGAAAACATAGTAAAAATCATCACTACTGAATTTATTGTGCTGGGGCTGCATTGTTAATTCGTCAAATTATCCGTACTAAATGCCAGATCGTTTCAAGTGGTGTTTAGAAACCCATATTTATCTCGCTCTCTGAAAAACGATCAGCTCTTCTTATCTGAAATCTCTATATTTAAAGCCCTATTTACACATCGCATGTCCGAACGGATTAGTTTTGTTCACAAAAATGATCCCTTTTCTGGTGCACTAGAACGTGAATCGAATCCATTCTAGTGAATAAAAATAGCCGAGCTCCATTCGGTTATTTGTTACTTTTGTGTAGTGTATAAGTGCTATTGTAGTAGGCCAGAGGAATGGTTTAAAATGATTTTTGGTGGATTTTGCTCACGCTACATTGAGTTTGCGGATATATTAAATCATAATCTTTGTGGTTTTGTTATGAGTGAACCCAAAAAGGGTCAAACTGTTCACCACAACAGGTCAGATTGGATTATGGTCTTTGAAATAGAAATGTAAGACAGTAAATTTTTTTAGTAGGTTCCTACACCTAATTTAAAATTAGCTTCCAGAGTAAATTTTGAATTTAGACATTTTCTTACGTCTAATAGTTTTTGAAACAGAGAATAGAAAGACACTTTCTTCGAGGTATGATACTTACCTATATTTAGTACGTTGTCTGGGTAGTTTATTTTATTTCGACACTTTTAAAACCTATATTGTCTAGTAAATCAAGACACTGTCATGGAAATCGAAAATATTCTTCTGATAAATTTAGACATTCTAGCATAATTTAACACACTCTTCTAGTAAATGTAATTAGGGTAATTTCTTCAAAATTTATGACTGTCGACTAATACCTAGCTTTTTACAAATTTTACATTTAAAAAATTAAGACAGCTACTGAATTTATATGCTTTCTCAAAAGTTCAAACGTATTAAAAGAAAGTCGTCGGGTGAATTTAGACTCTTTCCAAAATCTGAGATAGTGCTCTGATAAATTAAGACTTTTCATAGTAGGTTAAGACAATCGTCTGATAAATTTAGACAATTTCTCAAAAATTTAAGACAACATCTGATAATTTTGGTCACTTGGAAACAGAAAACAGTTGTCTAAGAGATTCAGACATACAGTCAATAGTCAATAGTTGTCTAGTAAAGATAAGTGTGAAAACACAGGAGTTGTTTTCATACTCGGTTTCTTTTCTAGCTTCGTTTTTTTTTTACCACTCAGTAAATATAGGTAGGTACTTATAAGTACTAAAGCTTATACTTACCTATAAATGTAATATGATATTCAACAGTTAAAGTCAGGTACCTGTACCTATACAAGAAAGAAATGAAACACGAATTAAATAACGTTCTACTTAATTGAGAAAAGAAGCTTTCCAAATGCAATTACATTCAGAAAAATGATATTTTCATGATAATTTTATACCCAAAGAGTCGCACTCGAAATTTCAGGGGGGCCTCGTTTTAATGGAAATGCACATTAAAATCGAAAGATTCATAGGAGTCAGGGGCAAAAGAGGTGCTCCAACCTGCTCAAATCAATGTGCCCAATAAAACCATAAAACATACAATATCACTCTATGAAGTACGTCCCATTTTGACTCTCGACAAGGACCCTTCTTTTACGGTTTTAAACGATAACCCGCCTTAAATCTAACAAGCTTTTAAGGCCAGATTCACGCTACAGCGTTAGTAAAGTGAGCTTTATGTGAAGGCAACGTTAAATAGGGGAATGCTGTGCGACTTAAGCGCCGCCTCGATGAAAGTTCAAAAGCACGGATTGGTCGTGAGGGTTGCTAGTCCGGCCCCGTTTCAAATTTCGAGTACCCAGAATGCAGCGCGGAGTGCCATGTACACTTGGAGGGCACTCTAAGAGTACGCTTAGGCGAGTTAAGCGCTCTTCGCCAGCTAAAGAGTCTTACATCAAGGGTGCTCTATAAAACGAGTGCTATAGCCCGATCGCTGATTTATTTATATAGTTAGTCAGTTTGTTTATTGAATTTCGGATATTATCGCGTTCGAGTGGTTCAAAAAGCGTCCCTATCCGGCCGCGCGCTTTTCATGGTTCTTGGGATTTTTGAGTGGGTGCGGATCTTTTGGTGCTTGTCGTTGTCTATGGATTAAAAAGAGGACTAGTATTTATTTTTCGGACATTGACCGGTGCTTTGTGAAAGGAGGATCGTTCTTCGCGGTCCTGGAGTCCATGTCTGGAGGTAAGCCATCGTCGACCTGCAGTGAAAAAACCCATTGTGACGTCGAAAACGTCACTGAAATATCTAGTTGTAATAGTGCTTACCTGAAGACCTTTTATGTGCATGGTATAGAAAATTGCTACAGTCTCAACTTTTCTTGAACTGCATTACAACTGCATCTTTCTCATTTTTCTTTTATCTCTTATATTTTTCTTTTATGGTAATTTCTCCATTCATTCAAAACGAAAAAGCTACTGGAGATTATCTAAGTACATAGGAGTATAAGACAAACTATCTACTAGCGCTTTCAGCTTCCATTCATAAACTCCTGAAAACTAAAAACTAGAAATGAAATAAATATTCTACATTATTCTACAAAGAATATGTTGTTTTTGATTTGTTCGATTTTGTTTGTTTTTTGTTTCTCTCTTCCACTTATTAATTCATTTATTTGACCGTTGCCATACCTTTTTGAGTCGTTTCCAACTTCATTCCAGCCGCTTCTCGATGTTTTATTTCTTTGGTTTTTTTCTTATTAGTTACTCACTTCATTTTCCTTTCTTTTGACAGCTTTTTCTCATTGTTACCTACCTATTCGTTTCCATCTTGTATAAAGTTTATCTCTTTCTTTTATTCTCCTTATATGAACTCTCTGACGTTACTCTATAATTTTTACTTTTTATTTTTAAATTGTACCCACTCTTTTGTGTCAATATTCATCATTTCCTTGAGTCTTTTATGGCGTATTCCTTCTTGTTGTAATTTTATCTCTATCACTTATGGGTGTTTAGTTTTTGTCTAGTTATTTTCCTGTATTTGGTGATGCATATTTTTCAAGCTCTGTGATCTGATATTATGTGATCCTTTAATTCAATATTGTATAAGGTATATATACTTATTACATCATCTAATACTATATACTATACTGACGCTGAAGTTTTCCTGTGTTTTGCGGCATTCTCAAGCCATTTTGCGAACTTCATAAACATTCATTTCCATGAGGTTCTTGTGTTCTTCAAGTTTTTGATTTTTCAAGCAGGTTAAAATTTCTATCTCCAATGATAACTCATTGTTTTTTTTTACTAAATCTTTTCATATAATTCTCATCAGGGATTCATACTCTTTGTGAGACTACAGTTGTATTATCTCCAAATATTGTAAATCGACTGCTTATGGAAAGAGATGTAAGGTCGTTAATATACAGAAGAAATAAAATAGGTCCAAGCACGGAGCCCTGGGGAACACCAATATGTTGCATTGAACATTTATCGGATAAAATACCCTATTAAGCCAGCTGTCTGCTTTCTATCCGACAAGAAGGATTGAAACCTCTCCCAGAGTAACACCTCTAAAGCCGTTATGGAAAAGCTTGCCAAGCAATACCGATGTCATGATTCACGCAATCGAACGCTTTGCTGAAGTCACAAAACGCTGCCGCGGCTACATCCTAGGTCCTCCAAAAAGGCAAACACTGCGGTGCGTCATTTGTGCTTGTTCCCACCTGAAAACCAAACTGAGATTTACTCAAGATGCCATGTTAGTTAAAAAAGTCATCATTCCTGGACTTAACTAGGATCTCTATAATTTTAGACAGGCATGGTAGAAGAGATATAGGTCGGTAATTGGCTGCATCATTCAAATCGCCTTCCTTGAATAAAGGTTTTACAAGGGACATCTTAAGACTTGCGGAAAAGGTTCCAGTTTCGAAAGAGATATTTATGGCATAAGCCATGGAAGATATAGTTCCAGTAGATACTTAATCCATCAATGCTGTGAGGGTTTTTGTTCACTTTGTGTAAAACTTTCCCAATCTCGTGTAAATCTATTACAGAAAGGTAGAATAAATATTTGATGGAAATGTGTTGGGTTGGGTGTAAGATAGTGGACCAATTTGAGGTTTGAGATCCTTTGTTATTCCCTCCGCTACCGTGCAGTAAAATTGATTCACATCACTAGGGTATTGCTTGGCCCCCATTAAGAGGGGCGTTTAAATAAAAATTTATTTACAGACCTTCACTTTCTGCGCACTTCCAAATTTAGACCACTTTTCAGTAAATTGAAGTTATGTTCATAACATTAATAGATTGGAGTATGGGTTGACGCACTTTTGGTTGCAAAATACGCAGTCTAAATAGTAAAATTATTTACAATTTTGTTGACAACAATATGCAAATTTGGTCATGGATTAAAATGGAAAAGAGATGAACACATAGAGTAGTACACCAACAATAAATTTCCAAAATTTCGGTTCATAAATAATATCGCCATCTACTTGTAAGTGAGGGACGGAATCACTTACAGGGAATTTGCACACCTGTAATTAGGAAATTTTCAATGTATGTCCATAAAGCCCAAAAGATCGCGTGCTGGCTTTTATCTGACGCCGCTCTTAAATTACCCCTCGTTTGTTAATTATTACACAAATTTCTTTAGTCTTATTGCGTGCTTTTCTCACTCCATATTTCTATAATAGTGGGATAGTTACGATATCACATGACATGTAATATCTCACGTTGTGAGAAAGTCAAAATATTACAGACATTACAGTAATAATTTTCAGTGAATTTGACATCTTCAATCTTCAGGTTCAATGTTATTCCATTTTTGACAAAACATCTTCCTCCTCTCTTGTCCCTACAGTTATGGGCTGCATTATATTCTGGTATAAGTACCTTAAGGTATTAGGTAATTTGCTTCGTTGAGGTATACCTATGTCTCAGTTAGGGCTACGATGGGTATTTTTTTTCGGGCTAGTACCGTAAACCGGGGCTACTTGAACATGCTTTTCGGATATTTTTGAAAATATGTGGTCTATGTGGACAAGAGTTTGCGATGGAGGCTTTAAAAAATATGAATTGTACCGACTTATACCTGATGGCTAAATCATGGCTGAAAAAAACTTAAGCAAAAATCAGCCATGAAGCCAAAAAAAAATTGTTTTTGGAGTGTTCAAGTGTAGTTGGGGCTACTTGAACATAAAATTTACTCCGCGTTAAAATCCACCTAAAACTTGCTTGGTTACCCCGAAGTTAAAATTAATGAGTTTTTTTTTTTTAATTCATGAGAAGTGTTACAAATAAACTTAATTCAATCAAACGCTTATATGTGTGATGTGTGGCAAATGAACTTCAAAAAATAAACATATTGGGAGCATAAACCTAAAAATAAACGACCGGTAAAAACTATACATAAATTAACACGCTTCTAAAGCCCGTATTACCTAGCAGAGTAGGTTAGTTTAAGCGTTGAAGGATACAAAATGCCATAAGCACTTTGTATTGATTGATTAACGCTTTTGTCATCGTCACTTCATCGGTGATCTCTTCGTCGCTGGAATCCTCAAAACGAGGGCAGGTCCAGTAAGGATCTTTTCTTCCTCCGTTGATGGACCATAAATCCATCAACTGCTGCACTTTACACATTTGATCCAGTCTAACCTGTTTCAGTCATCCTTTAGGTTGATATACAACATAAATTCCGCAAATATTTGCTTTGCGACTTTGACGAACTGGTAAATGGATTTTTAAACCAGATGTAGATGGTTCATTTTTATTGGTAGATGCCTCAGAAGCCTAAAAAATTTCCCGCTCAGGCCTCCTCTCCGACATTCATCTCAGTTTGTTTGAGGTTTACAGCAGACGCGTTAGTGCCCGTTTCGCCTTATTTTCTTTCCTGCTTTTCACCACTTCCTCTATGTTCCTGCAATAACTCTAAAACTAGTATCGATAGTTCTTTCAATGTCCTCGCCGTCGCCATCTACTCCATCGGGAATTCTTTTTAGCACCTCATTAGTGTTAGGAGGATGCAGAAGCCTGACACTAAATTTATACTGACAGTATCACTACTTTCAGTCCATAGTCTGTCTAGCAATAGACGGATGCACTCGGGATACCTGGTTTTCCCTTCTCCACTTATCTAAAATTTGTCTTCACTTCCTCTTCATCGGAGCAAATACAGCAACATCCATCGGTTGCATGAGATGTATTGGGTTTACTGGGAAGGGAGGGAACCATGAGTGCCGAGACTGCTTTAAGTTTCGAATCTTGGGTTATTCCTAGGAATTTAACTTCTTGCTTCCAGTTAAGTCGGCTTCCATTGAGGCGAATGTTTCTCAGGCTTGAGAGTTCCGGTCTTTTTGTAAATGTTACCCAGTGTGGTTATCACTGAGTTCAGATTCAGCCCCACTGTCTGACACCATTCCTTCGTGATTCGAAATACTTCTTCTATAAGGTCGCAGAGTATTCCTTCGTTTGCCTCTGGCCATAATGGGGAGTGTTCTTGTACCTTCTTTCTCTATTATCCGTCTGGTATTCGCTCCAGGATCGTCTTTCAGTAACATTATAGTTTCATCATAGGTAAGTATACAGATTTTTGCTTTTAACATCTTTCAAACCAAGTTCAACTCTATTGAAAAGGGTAAAAATGTCATCACGATTTACCGACGACCTGGGGAACGTTTTATGTTTGATGCAGTTTTGATGCTGAACTTGTTCCGAAGTATGGAAGCGTCCATGAAATCAGGGCCAGGGACGTTATATTTAAAGACACGCACGTCTTTATACCTTGCTTGTCCAGGTACTTTTTGATAACGTCCCTAATATCGAGACGTGTGAGAGGTAATTCTTATTTCGCTACCACACCAAAGGGTGTTCCGCACCTCCCGGCCTCCAGGGCTTTTTCCATGTCTTTTTCTGTGGATTTATGGCAGGCTTTGAACCCCGGGGGTCGCCTGTAGTTAATGACCATTTTTTTAGCTTTATTTAACACCTTAACAGAAGAAAATACTGATTATTTCTATAAAATCATCGACTTTATTATTTAAATGCAACTTATCTTATCCATGGATGGATGGTGCATCGGGAATTTTTTTTTTACTCATAGATTTTTCCGCTCCTGCCATAGACTGCAGTAAGCTGTTGGTTTCGTATGCGCTCTCTCGATTTTTTAAACAGTATTTGATTGTGATATGTTGGGGTCCTCATTGAAGTAAATATTTTTGTCCATTCCATCTATGCCCACATTATTTCACTTTTATTCCTTCACTGTCTGACTCTCTTGAATATTTTCACTTACACACTGTATCCTTTCACCAATATTTGCATCATCGGTTTCCTTGAGAATTTTCATTTTGATCCTTTTTGTTAACCCTGATGGTTTCTTCGCTCCTCAAAATCATTATTTTCCTGTCTGAAAGCTTTTATTTTTGTCATGGAATTGTCTGTGACAGTTCTGTGTTCTTCAAATTTATTCGACATATAGGTACCTATTGTTCATACGCATTTTCCTCTTTTTCCTTTTTTGACAGGATTTGGGAACTCTAGGAGAAGGCTTAATACCTTTTTTTAACTTTTCTTCGTCCATATAAAAAGAGATTTTCTTCCTAATTTCGCTTCTTTGTTGTGATTGGCTACAAATTACTTTTCCGCTCATATTTAACACTTTGGCTTGGTTTGCACACTTGGGTGATAGGATGATTCACAAATATGATGATGCCATAATCATGCTTGCTCCTATAAGACGGAATTAGAAAATATGTTAGTTAAATCAAAAATATGCTTCCTTGAAGACATTCATAAAAAATTTAACTTTGCCTAAAGAACTTTTTTTCTGATGTCCTGTTCTATATAAATAGAACGCTGAGTAGGTAATTATTATTGTTTCAGGTGGCAACTACGGGGAAGGTCCCGTGGTGCCTGTGGACCGTGGCACTGGTCCTAGTGCGGCCGATCTTCACGGGCTCTTGCCCGAGCTCAATGGCGTCGAGCTGGCAATGAGCCTGAGCCCAAAAGGTCACCTAGGCCAGGGCTCGCTAAGTCACTTGCAACAATTGCACCATCACTCGACGCCGTTCAGCGTCACCGACATTTTGAGTCCCATCGAGGAATCTTATCGGAAATTGGAATTGGCTGCGAATAATCCACCTTCACCTTACAGGTAAAATATTGTTCCAGTTGTTTGGCCTCCTAGTATAATATGTGCGTCTTGGACTTTTATTTTAATACCTAAATTTTTTCACCAGATTGATGCCATTTGTAACTTTGTTCTAGATCCACTTCAAGTGGTAGCAGCATAAATTCTCCGGGCGTTCCAACAACGAGCACTTCGTGCAGCATGAACGGAGGTTATCCGGTGATGGGTCAGTTCGGTGGCGGGCAATATTGTCCCGTCTCCGAAAATCTAGGTTTGCCTCCTCATTATTCTTCGGGCTGGTATCAAACTTCGGCTGCTGATCCACGATTTGCAAGTAAGTAATATTTAACTTATACTTGTGTAAATGTAAAATCCACATAAAATCCCATTAAACGGTTAAAGTGTATCGAAGACGCGCCTGCTTTACACGGCCAATATACCCGGAACAAAACCTGCTTAGATATTCTCTTGTTACCCTTAAAATCGGGGTGGCTATATTATATTGGTCGTTGAGTTACGATTAAGAAGACTTCAAATAACAAAATTTCAATTTTGATGTGAAATAAATTGAGATGTTTAGTAGGTATGATGAATGCGAATAGATGACGTGGGAAAAATATCGAATATTAGATGCGCAGTGAACTAGTTAGTAGTTAGTGACCAAGTTTAAATTGTGCGCATCACCAAACTGTTTTTTTTTTTAATGGTTGCGTCTATTACGTTTCACACTTCCAATACCTCAAACTTCACTTGTCAACCAAGCGCTATATCTTTTGCATCTAAAAATCTAAACTCGACAAACCTCTCTGGCATTCATAAGAGAGGGGTAGTTTTGTGTATTGTCCCTCCTTAATACGTTCCGGAGTTTCTCCGACACGCAGTGGGTGTTTAGTTACAAAAGCAAATTCACACACGCTATAAGTGCCTTCTGATGATGGGGCATATCGATTACCGCAGAGCCCTTTGAACCGTAATTTGACACTTTTTTTTAGAAAATATAGGTGCAATAAAAGCTGAACGATTAGTATTTCAGTCAAGTAGGTACTTATTCTATTTAGTTTTACTTGGAGAAAAGGGGCGAAACCAAAGATTATTTATCGATGTAGCGATTTATCATCGACAACAAGACGTAATATGCCGTAACACGCCATAAATGACGATTATACACGACGTCGACACGGATATCGGTATGCAAACAGGAAACGGAAGATGATTGATGCTTTTATGGGAAATTGCTTTAAGCTCCCGGCGCACGAGGAAATGCGGGTACGTCCCCAAAAGGGGGCGAACTTTTTATAAGGGATCAAAAAACAATCGTGACATAAGATTTTCATATTTAGAATATGCAATGTCATAATAATTATTGTAGGCCATGATAATATTAAAATCTGTTTTTTATTTAAAGATAAAAGTCAAAATGACATTCTGTTGGCAATACAATGTAAAATTGTAAATGCTTTCAAATTTTTCATGTAGAAAAGGCTTGTGTTGCCAACATAGTTACTAAATTTTTGACTTGGGGAATTATCTTTAAAAAAAAAAACAGACTTTATGTTTTTTTGTTCAACGGCGTTGTCTGTATTAGAGGTGCTTTCCAGTGACCCATTTGAGTTACTCCTGAGCAGCTCAGGAGTGCTTCACAAATGCTTCGCGCGTTCCAGTGCTTAGAGTGTCGTACACTTGAACTACTCATTTCTGTTATCCCCTGCCCCCTTGTGCACCAGCCATTATTTCGGTGTTTCATGCTCCTGAAGTGCGAAATGGTGGCGGTTAAGACGAAAGCGTTCCAGTGCTGCTTATGTCGAACAGTTCAAGAGCGTCATCACACTCCAGGAGCATGATACTCTAACAATTTAGGCACTGGAAAGCTTAGTTTTGATCAAATGTCATAATTGTCACTTATTACAATATGGCTGCTATAGTAGTAGCTTCCTCCAACGGAAGTTCCTTTAGTTTTGAGTTCCATCTGTGGTGTACCAAATTATGATATAATATACTCACCACAACATTTTTAATAAATCTCAGTTGCCATTAACATCTTTTTCGTAAATATCTCACACAACCCTAATAAAGCTATCCTGCAGTTATTATTATTAATTCATCTGGTAGATATTGAAAATACCGGGATACGTTTTCCTGATGGAACACAATAAAATTCCTTCTCGGTTAATTAAAACCGCTCGAGGCAGCCTTTGTCGAAACCGCTCAAAACAATAATAATAATAATATCGGTCGCCCCCATTATCATCATCTCAGAATGAAACGGAGAGGAAGTCGAGCTCCGAAAACGAAAACAAACCGCACGAGAACAAAAGGACCTCTTAAGTCTTCAGGTGTGTTTTTACAGGCTAAAGCCTTGTTTAACCAGAATTAATTATTCTGAAAAATACAATTGATTTTTGGAAGCCATTTTTTTGGACGAATTGACTTGGGCTACTCGGATTGCACTTTGCCAAAGATTTCCAGTTCTTCCGGAATTGTTCTCCTAGAAAAAGAAAAAATATTGTTTTGAGTGGTCTCCCAATCGGTCGACGCATTTGGGCTTGAAATTAATCTACGCATTGGGGAGACATCCGTTATTTGTTATGTATGTGAATATAATGTTACGCTGAAAAATACGAGGTCTTATTTTGGTTTACATCTAATATTTTTGTGTTCACTCCGCCTCTTTCTAGGTTCCATTTTTTTTTTCTCTTTTTAGAATCTGAGCTGCTTCCTTCATGTTAAACTCTGTATCAATCTAATAGATATGGTGTTTCCAAATTGTTATCGAGTGTTAGTGTTCTAGAAATACATTTCCCGTTTTTAATTTTTAATGAAAAATTTCCATTTCTTCATGTGTAACTATTATGTATGTGATCTTCAGTGAATGGTTGTCCTACATAGTGAATATCATTTCTGGGCTCTCATATGCTACTTTTTCCAAATCAAATCCACAAACTTGCATTGTGATTCAGCTTCTAGTTTTATTTCTTTTATATCTCATCGCTTTTGGATCAAATTTCATTGGCTTCAAAAATCTATATTTATTATTTAATAATTTTTTGTTTATTGTCGAACTTATTTGTGCTTGTATAAACATTATTGTCACTTTAGCCTGATTCATTTTGTTCGAGAGAAGTTGAATAATCAGCACTTATAGTTGTATGACGGCACTTTTTGCATACAAAACAAGGTACGGTCAGTCTTATTCATCTATTTGATGAAGTAAAGTTCGTTTCACCAGGGTTCATACTTGACCTTGAAACTTGACTAAAAAGGGTTGTCGCAGATTAATTCATATGACACTTTCAATTTTTTTGACAAATTAAAATGAATGACGTCTAGTTTAAGAACCGACGAACGTTTTTGACGTCATTGATTTGTTTCAGTCAATTTTTATTTGTTAAACAAGGAAGACAAATGCTGGTGGCAAGTACAAACCCTGGTGAAACAAACTTTACCTACTTTGGTTTAGTGCCAGAGGGCTTTCATTCATTTTTCTATAATTATTTCTCTCAAATTTGTTTTGTTCTCTGTTTTCTATTCTCCTTAGTTTTTTCTTGGATTTTTTCCTATTTTTCTAATAACGAACGATGAAGATCATTTCCATCATGATGAGTTTTGCCTTTTGCCTCACACACATAATGTTTTATTAAAAAGTTCAATGGGAATTTTGTTCTCGGGTTCCTTAGAATGATATTACTTCAAGCCCTTGCCTTGACGATTTATGTTAGATTTACATACTTTAAAGAGTCTTCAACCACTCATTAATTACTCCACTTTTGTATTCTTCATTGAAAATTTATCCTAATCCAAGCATGACTTGATCTTCTCCTTTTTGAAGTTTCTATGGTTAAAGGAGATGACAAAAAATTCTCTTGAAAGACTTGCAGCATCAAAATTTTTGTTATTTATATCAAATTCATAATTGATGCTTTGTGTCATGATTCCATGTTCTTCGGCTCTTCGGGTCAGATTCTCGAAATTGTTGGTATTATTTTTATTTATTCTATTTATTTTTGATACCTACTTCTCTTCTCATTTTTAATAAATAAATAAATAAACAAATAAATAAATAGTATTTTACTTGTTGCCTCTATGCAAAATCTTGTCAGTGCAGACAATACTGCATAATTTGTTCGTTGAAATGGTATATGGAACAGATCGAACTCCCGCGACACTCTTTGTGGAACATGCAGTGATATTTTGTTAAGAAGGTTGGGGCAGTCAATCTGGGTACTATGAATTTTGAAATGTGTGCAGATACCTATGAGTATTCTTCGGATTTCTAGACTTGGCAAATTTAATGTTTTCATCAATTTCTCATATATTACTTCTTGCATCGAAATTCCCATTTTAAAATCCACAAACCTTAAGAATTTTTTCTGTATGCGTTCGATCTATTCAACATAAGTTTTGTAATATAGAACCCATACTGGGCAAGCATATTCTAGTATAGATCTTACATAGGCGAGGTACAAAGTTTTCATACAATTTATGTCATTGAAATCAAGTAACGTTCTTTTAATAAATGCTAGCATCTTAAACGTCCTGTTTGTACTAGTTAACATGGTTATTGAAATTCAAATCCTTATCGAAGAATACCCCAAGAACTTTCATCACAACAGCCTTATCCAAAATGTCATCATCTATCTTATACCTAGTTATTGAATATAATGTTTTTCTTTCTATAGAATTGCCAGGTCATCTGCATACAATAAAAATTTCGAGTGTGTGATAAAATTAACCACATCATTGATAAATATTAAAAAGCAGTGGAGATAGGTGGGAGCCCTGCGGAACACCAGACGCGATAACAACCTCTCTTGAAGTGAAACCTTTAATCTTTACAATTTGTCTGATTCGACAAATAACTTTTGAGCCACGCCAACAGATTTCCATAAATTCCATATTTTTCCAATTTCTTCAGTAATAAATTATCCATAATTAATTCAAAAGTTTTGGCAATTAACGAGCTTTTTGAAATAGCTCTGGTAGTTTGTGATCTCAGATCGGTTACCACTTTTGAAGATCGGTGTCACATATGATACCTTCCACAGGTCCAAAAATTTAAGTAATCATGATACCAAAACCCGGAAAACCACCTCATGATGTGTCATCTTATAGGCCAATATCATTATTGCCCGTTTTATCTAAGCTTTATGAAAAGATACTGCTAAAAAGAATAAAACCGATCATAGAAAGACAGGAAATCATTCCAACTCATCAATTTGGATTCCGCGACAAGCACACTACGATCGACCAAGTACACAGAATAACGAATTTAATAGAAAAATCGCTGGAAGAGGGAAAAGTCTGTTCCGCAGTTTTCCTCGATGTAGCGCAAGCATT